AATATCTATATTATTCAATTGTATATAAATACTTATATTTCAAAAAATTATATATAACATAAAGATTCTAATAGCCTCCATTGGGAAATAGAATCAACAATTATCTCTGAGTCTTTAACTTCTTTTATATTCTCCCAAAATTTTACAGCTAATATGTTTCACATTAAAATGTATAACTGTGAAAAATGATGTAAATTGTATTTTGTATTTTCTTAATTATTTTGCATGTTTGTATTTCTGTCGGAGAGCAAAGAGAGATTGTCATATTCCTCTTGTAACTATTTTTTGGATGTTGTTAAATAACTAAACTTCCAGAAAATAATATGTACATATTTAAAAATGAAACATACTTGTTTTGCTGTATTACTAAAAGATGTGAATCAAGAATCAATTGAAAAATAGGCATAGTTTTGAGTCTGAAGGAAAATAAACTCCATGATTTCTAACTACCAATTACTAGACATTGATTAGTTTCCTAATCTTACTGACAAATTCCGGAAGAAAATAGCTTTCTAGCTAGAGAGTAACACAAAGATACTGCAGTCAGTACAAGAGCAGATTCAGAAAATCTCGATCTATGGCTCCTCTTCAAAGTGCCAGTGTATATTGATGAAATTTGCAATGTGAATTTCAAAGCCAGTAGGTACTGTGTGGCCAGTGATGCTTTCAGTATTGTAGGACTAGAGGTTTTTGCTCAGTTAAATGTAAACTTTCTTCCAATTAAGTGCATTTTTTTCTCCTTCTGGTTCAGTAAAAATAACACATGAAAAGGTAGTTGCCAGAATGTTTGAACACAATCTTAAAACAAGCTAATTCACAAAAATTTGTTCAGGGACTGCTGGTTTGTTGAATTTTGTTTTTAAGATGACACAGAACTTTTCTGCATTTTACTCGGATTGTTGGTTTGTGAATTTCTCTTTCAGTTCCTTGCTAAGATTCTTGACTTCTTATTCCAGAAAGAATAGGACTACAAAATAATCAGTGCTGTAGTAACTATCATTTCATTGTTGTATAAAATATGTGACCGTCTAAGGGAAAGGATGGCAGAAAGGTACCTGACATAGTTCTTGACTGTTGTGATTCCTCCTTGAAAATAAAGGAAATTCAATGCTTTGTAACTCTTCTCCCTGCCTTTAGTAGCTGGCTCTAGGATTCCCAGTCTTTGGGGGCGGGGGGGGGGGGGAGGGCATGTTGGGAGTGATTCCCCAGGAACTGGTTTTGGCAACTCTTCACACATGGTTAATGGGGCAGTACTGAGGCCACAAAATCTCCTGCCGTAACACTAGACAGTGACCAGGAAACTGAGTTCCCATGGAACCACCAGTGTCTCATCCTGTCAGTTCTAGACATTTCTTGTCTTGTTTTCGACTGTGGCTATTACCTGAATACCAATCTTCTCAGCACTCATGTAACTATTAGTGCATGGAATAAGTACAATACCAAAAATAACTTCTTTACTAAAGGCCCTCCCACCCCACCTTCACTCTCTCCTTGGAAAGTTTTTTTTTTTCATTTGTTACATTGTGATTTGCAATATTGTTAAGGACAGGGTTTCAGCATACAACGTTCCAACAGCTGAGTGTCCATCTTGTTCCAAGTTCCCCTCCTTACCGCCCTCTACCCACCACTGGTGAGCTCAATTTTGCCCTTGGTAAGCTCAGTTCTATAGATCAGTCCCCAGGTTGTGTAGTCTTTGGCTATTTGCTTTTACCATACTATATTGCTTGTATACCACATATGAGGGACTATATGTGGTATAGTCCTTCTGACTAACTTCTCTAAGTAGGATACCCTCCAATTTCATCCATGTAGCTGCATATTGCATTTGCCTCTCATAGCAAAGTACTATTCCATTATGTGTAGGTCCCATAATTTCTTTATCCAGTCATGTGTTTTTGGACATTTGGTTTGTTTCCAGAGAGCGGCTATTATGACTAGTGTTTTAATGTAGAACACAGCTGTCTTTTCTGAATAGAGTTTTTGGTGGGCCCTGAAGATGAGGCCAAAATGTGGAATTTCATAATTCGTATGAAAGCTGAACTATTAGTTTTCTGAGAAGTGCCCATATTATTTTATTTATTTATTTATTTATTTTTCTTTTTTTTCCTTTTTTTTTATTAGTGAAACACCATGAGGTACAGTTATAGACTAATAAATTTTTGTGCTTGGGTTTCAGTTATACAATGATCAAGTACCCATCCCTCCACCAGTGCCCATCCTCCACCACCACAGGTCCTAGCATCCCTCCAAAAAACACTCCAAGACATATCATAGTTAGAATGATTGATGCTGCTGATAGAGACACAATACTGCAAGCAGCAAGAGCAAAGAAGGAAATCACATACAAAGGAGCATCCCTTAGATTCACAGCAGACCTATCAGAGGGAACCCTCCAAGCCCGAAGGCAGTAGCGAGATATAGTCAAAAAACTCACAGAAATGAATGCTTCACCAAGAATACTCTATCCGGCTAAACTCTCACTCAAAGTCGAAGGAACAGTACACTACTTTCTAGATAAACAGCAGCTCAGGAACTTCATAGACTCAAAACCAAACCTAAAACAGTGCCCATATTATTTTCCAAAGAAATTCAACCAGTCAACATTCCCACCAACAATGGATGAAGGTGTCTTTTGCCCATATCCATGCCAGCATTGGTTGGTTTTGTGCCTTTCAAAGTGATGGGTTTTTTCTTAAAGAGATCCTTAGTTACTCGTTCGTTAAATTTGTTGCTCTCATGTTATAATGTTTGTTTTTATTTAAGTGAAAGATAACATTACATAACCCAGAAAAAATGTCACCCTGAGACAATTTTAGGTCTATCAACAGTGCTCACTGCACGTATTTGAGTGTAATTCCCCATCCATTCGTAGAAGGCCCCGTCATTCATTCATAGGAAACTTCTCATCCATTCTCAGTCATCCCCATCATTTTACAATGAGTGCTGGGAACCCTTTAACTCACTTCAGTTACTAAGCTTTCTAATTTAAAATATTGCTAGCTGGGAACTTCAAATATATCATGTCAGAATTGTTTTCTACTAGAGGTCCTTTTTTGGTGTGTACATTTATTGAGTTCATTACGCTCACACATAACTTAAGTCAAATTGTATTTAGAAAAAAATTTTTATGGGTGTTAGTTATCAAATATGATTTTAATTATTATAATAATCAAATTGTAGAATAAAGTTCAAATATATGTTCATGTTACATTTCTTTGGGAGGAAGTCAAGGTGTTGGACCACACCTAGGGGATATTTCTATGCTAAAAAGTGATCCCTGACAGTGCTCAGGGTACCATATGTGATGCCATGAATGAAACCAGGGTTGGTCCCTTACAAGGCAACTGTCTTACCTCATGTACTGTCTCTCTAGCCCCATGTTATATTTATTTCCTTCCAAACACAGAAAGAAATATATTTTATCTTCATCTTTGCTGTATTTGTGATAGTGCACTGTACATCAATACTTGCATACATCTTTTAGAATGCTTAGGAATAGTGCTTTTTTTAATGAATATTGTTACACTGTATTCAACCAAAAAAAGAATTAAAAGTTTTAATGAACTTTCACAGCTCAGCTTAAAGTGAAATCCAATATAATCCGTATAAAAATTGGAGAACTTATTTCTAGGAGTTAATATCAGATTACAAAATGATGTGTGGGGTCAGGATGACTTAGTTCATAACTAAGGAAATAAACTTTGCAGTCAGGCCATTCGAAAGCATTGCATGGAAGAAAAGACAGTATCTTTGGAAATGATCTAGATTCATCTGGCTTTCATTTTTGGTTATCTGAATGATCTCAACACAGAACAGGTGCCCTTGAAAATTGAGTTTCTGAAACGAAGGGGGAACAGAGTCACACACATTTTCTTTCAAGTGCATTCTGACCTTTCTCTGCTTTTTATTTTCCACACTTTGGATTTCAAGATCTCTGCATAATTTGCTGGTGACTGTAACAACGGACCTAATTATTGGTAACAATCCACTTACTAACGTCACGCACACCATGCTTGTGCTGCAGCATATTTTACGAGTGTTGTTTTATTAGGTCACTCCCATCCTCGCAGAATTGTTCATGAGTGAATGGTTCACTTGCAGTGCTCTCCGTTAGGGTCATGTCCAGGAAGGGTTGTTTTGTTTTGTTTTGCTTTGCTTTTTTGGTTTGTTGTTTTGTTTTGTTCTCTTTGGGTGAGAGTAATTACATTCGCTTTCCATGAAAGCACTTTGACTAGCTAGACCGAGACCCACCCCATGGAGAATTTGAAAATCCTCCTCACGTATTGTAGGTGCCAAAAAATGCCACGAGGGAGCTCTCGATCCAGGTTTCTTCCTTTCCTCCACGTAGAATATTGCACAACTGCCTCGCCTTTCCCTGGTCCTCCGAGTCATCCCTGCTGACACCTTGCTCCTGCAGCCCCCGGCATGCTGTAGCTGAGGTTGCCGCAGCAACAGCACACACGGGGGAACATTCCCCCCGTAACTACAGCGGCTGGGACGTGAGTCAGTTGAAAGTTTCACTGGGTTTTTATTAGTCTATGATGCAGTCCCAGGCCATCTACAGTTCCGAGCCTGTCCAAAACTCACACACGATGATGCAGTACATTCAGTGTTCCTCACCTTCAACGGTGCAGATGGTCCAGGAGCCTCTCTCCAAAGCCACCACTTGCCGCCTCCTTCCAGGGTCAGAGGCTAGGCTTAACACCCGGGTCCCACCGCTGAAACTCCGTTGCTAACATTGCATGTCCTGGCTGTTAAGTAAGCAACGGTGACTTGTGTGATGATCAAGAAGTTTCTGACTTCTCCAGGGAATGGCTAAGATCCCAGAAGACAGAGTTTTCATGCCAGCAGCTGGGAAGAACATGTGCTGAAGAATAAGGATGGAATTACTGTAATTCTTCATGGGAATTTATGAGAGTAGAAATTGATATTTTATGTTGATCAAACGTGGCCACCGAGTTGTTAGTAACATCTAACACAGGATTTGGTTTCTTTTTCAGACATGGAGATGACTTGATTGTGACTCCGTTTGCTCAGGTAAGCTGAGTTTGGTGAGTGGTTTCTCAGGGGTGTGAATGTTCACTCTGGGAGAATACTTCTTGTTCATAATTTCATTTTAAATTAAACACAAATTATGAATATAAAATTCGGGCTGCATTCATTTCATTTAAAGCCCTTGCTAGAGAATGCGGCCTTAGATTGGTCTGTTTCCTATAAATTCATTGATCCATAGAGTCTCTTTGCTTCAAATTGCAAATTACTTAAGTGACATACTTAAATGGCACCATATTTCCTAACTTTACATAAGCACTAGAAGCAGAAAGCTCCATCACAGCTTAAATTACATTTAGTATAATTGATTATAAATGATCAGTGCATGCAATTCAATATTCCAATTCAACCTGGTGTTTTATTTACTCACTTGTTCTTTATACAAAGATCTGATTGAATGACGTCTGTTTGTACCCTTTGATTATACAACTCTTGAAAATATTTAAACACATGAAAAAATGTTAGAAAGCAATGTAAGAACCTAAGAATTTTAGAATAAATGTGTGTGTATATATACATGACCAAATAGTTTATGCATAGACCCGTACTTCTCGACCCTAGATAGCTACATACTAGAAAAACCTAAAAAGATTTATCCCAGGTCTTACCCTTGATTATATGAGTTTAAAAATCTGGGTGGGATCCAGGAACCTACTTTTTGTAAAGGCCTCAGTTTTTTTGCACGAAAAGTTGAAAGTAATTAATCTTGACAGGCTAGGGGTAAATGAGATAAAAACTAATTCAACCTGATATGTGATCCAGTTTTAAACTCAAGACTAGTTACTATAAAAAAAATAGTTAAATATTGAAATACCAGTCATCCGAGGAGATTGTAAAAATCGTGATTAGTACCATATCGAAAGTCATTGTCACTGTCACTGTCCTCCCGTTGTTCATCAATTTGCTCAAGCAGGCCCAGTAACGTCTCTGTTGTGACAATTGTTACTGTATTTGGCATATTAAATACGCCACTGATAGCTTGCCAGGCTTTGCCGTGCGGGCGAGATACTCTTGATAGGTTACCCGGCTCTCTGAGAGGGGCAGAGGAATCGAACTCGGAACAGCCATGTTGGCCGCTTGCAAGGCAAACGCCTTACCTGCTGTTCCTATGGCTCCAGCCCATATCAAAAGTACCACTAGTAAATTGAGCAGCCCATTCAAGTTTTCTGAGACTTCTTTTTGACAACTAATGAAATTGTGTGACACATCTGGATAAAGACAATTTCCAGTTCAGAGCCAACTCTTATTATTAAGTCACCCACCTTAGGCAAGTCACTGAAATTTTCTAAGCCTAGTTTCCTCTCCTCTGCTCAAGAAAAGTTCCAAGAGAAACTACCTCACAGGGTACAATACCAAGCTTGTAAAATACTCAGCAAATTTGTAGGAAATAAAATAATGAATTATAAGATTCTTTTTTTAATTTTTATTACTGAAACACCATGAGGTACAGATGTAGATTTACAAATTTTTGTGCTTGTGTTTCAATTATACAATGGTCAAACACCCATCCCTCCACCAGTGCCAATTTTCCACCACCACGGGTCCCAGTATCCCTCCCACCTCCCAACCCCCCATCCCACCCTTCCTCGGTGGCAGGGTATTTCCTTTTGTTCTCTCTCTCCTTTTGGGTGTTGTGGTTTGCAAAAGAGGCATTGAGTGGCAGTCATGTTTGGTCTATAGTCTACTTTCAGCATGCTTCAGTTGCTATTTTTAATACTTGATCACGGGCCAGAGGAATAGTACAGGAGTTGAAGCCTCGAATGTGGCCCTACTTTGGTTCTATCCGGGCACCAGAGGTCACTCTTGAGCACAAAGCCAGGAATAGCCCCCAAGTACTGTCAAGTGTGACCCCAAATTCCCCTACTTACCCTCTCTTCCCACACAATATTTTTGTCACCAGTAGAGGGCATTTATTTCATCTCTAAATTTTCATGATACAAAAGGATTTTTTAAAATACATGTGCATTGTTTGGAAAGTAAGACTATGCATCATTCTTCCATTCTCTCATTGATCTAAATGTTGTAATTTCTTTAAACCAAAATTTTAATTAATTCATAAATAACATTATAATGGCTTTAATTAATGCATGCAATTAAAAATATAAAACTATCACTTAACTTTTAGAAGGGTAATATCTTCTTTACTTAAGAGTTTGCTAGAGATCATGAACTCTTTCAAGCACTATGTTAAAAATATTTACCCTTCTATGAATATGATTTGATCATATTTGTAAGAGCAAAATTTTATAAAGCAAAGGATTTTTAATTAGAATTAAAACTCTATAGCTTAGTTTTAGTCTTTGATTTGGAGGCCACTCCCACTGAATGCTCAGGAGCTATTTTCAGCTCCGTGCTCAGGAATCACTCCTGGCTGCCTGGGGGACCATGCAGTGCCAGGAATTGACTCCAGGCTTTCTGAATGCAAATTAAGTACCCACACTTTGGGCTATTTCTTTAACTGCCATAATCTTATTCTAAATTCTGAGATCTAAGTGACTGGATGAAAATCAGGGAAAACTGTGAATCACCTTCATTAAATGTAGACTCAATCATTCCAACTTGAATAGATTAGGGTGGTTTTTCTTGCTTTTTACTAAAATTTCTAGACGTTTTGATGATGAAAATATATAAATACATAGTAAAAACTGAAAATAAATGATTCTATATGTAATACCTTATCATTTTATTAAAACTAGCATTTATTAATCTGACTGCCTGATATATTAATAAAATTAAAAAGAACATACATATATATGTAAAATATCATTTAGTCATTTCAGTGATGTTGAATAAGTATATTACATCTTTGAATTGAAATTTTGAATATAAATCAATTCTGTTAAATGTGGTATAATGCTGGAGCCATAGTACAGTGGGTAGGGCATTTGTCTTGCACGCAACCAACCCGGCTTCGATTCCCAGCATCCCATATGGTCCTCTGAGCACTGCCAGGAGTAATTCCTGAGCCAGGAATAACCCCTGAGCATCGCCGGGTGTGACCCAAAAAAGCAAACAAAAAAAGTGGTATATCTGATACCTGAAAATAATCTTGTCTTATATTTAAAACTTTGCTTAGAATTTGCTTAACGATTTTTTTAAAGATACTCATTACCTCAGAGACTGTATATATTTTCCCATGGTTACCACAGTTTTCACTAATGGCCTTTTAACTCTAGGGTATATGATCTAGAAAGCTATACTAGAATTTGGAAAACATCAAAGCCTGTTAAACCTTAAACTGTTTCACCACTGATGATAAAGCATCATGGCTTTATGCTGGGGAAGCCAGTAACTAAAGAGGTGGTGGTAGTTTTGTTGTGCTTTCTCCTGAGCCCTATGTATGAAAAAAAAAACCTCATTTGTGAACCTAACCGCATTTAGTGCCTCAAATGTTTAATCCAAGTCACAGCATTTAATGTTTAATAGCAGTATTATAATGCAAAAGTAGAAAATTCTTGTGTCACTTAAAGTGGTACTGGCCTTTAACGTTGCTTTGTTAGATCACTGGATCTAACAATGCTGGGCTGAAGGCTCTTAATTTCAGATGTTGCTGATGGAAGTGTTCAGGTAATACTCAGTAGGTCAACGATTCTGCCCTTCCCCTTGCATGTCTTGGAATTGGAGTTTACAATGAAGGAATAAATTCTTCGGTGAAAAGACCCTATTATTTTCAATTTTTTTTTGCATAAAAAGTTTAGAGAAGAAATATTTTCAAAGGAAGAAAGAAGAAACTTTACCATGATTCCAAAGCCCCAAATAACTACTATTGACAAATCCCCTTGGGTTTATTTTTCTGTGTATAGTTTTTCACATAATTCTTAAAAATTGCCCTCCTGGTTTCTAAGGTAGTCAGAGGCCTTCTCCACATTACTTTATGAGTGAGCGCTTCTCCGCCTAGTCTCCCTACCTCCCCCAGTCTTGGTTTCCAATGAAGCTTAAAGAATAAAATCCTCAGAATTAAAAAGAATTTAGGAAGTCATACAGGGATATATTTTTTCCTTTGATGGACAAAGCTAAGACCTAAAACATCATGAAGAGTGGTATTCTTCAAAATAGATCCTTCAGTACCCCTCCAAATTATAACTGAATGTCTCAAAAATTGCCAAGGGTAGAAATTTTACTGGTGATCAGCCTATTCTCATTTCTACTTATGATTTCTTTCTTAAGTTTTCCCCTATAGACTCAAAATCCTCTTGATTTCAAGAAAGTGACGGCTTTAAATATTTTTTTTACTTAAATTATATAGTGTTCTCCTAGTTTATGCTGAAATATTTTTATTTGGGTAATTCCTTAGGCACAAAGGTGAAGTGCAAAAAGGAATCCCTCTACTCCGCCTTATCCGTCACTTGGTTTATTTTCTTCAACATGCAATAACCAGTTGGCCATTTTTCTTGAGGATCAAAAAACACCAAGGAAGGAAGCACAGTTGGGATGAAATGAAGTCCTATTAATTACAATCTGACTATCTTGTAAAACTTTAAGTATGATGTGTCAAAATAAGTAGAATCTCTTATTAGAGGAAACATAGAGGATACCTAGATATTATCTTACATCCCTGGAAAAGCCTTCATGTCATCCAGACTGAGGATATGTGCCTGGTTTTAAAATACTGAGTGGGAACACACAAGTCATTTTACCTCTTCCTCTAACAAATACGCAGTATCTGGGAAAATTTGGTGGGGGGGGAGGGAGGGGGGCGGATATAATAGCTAATAACACTGTATAAAATTACTATGTTGTTGGTAACGGAACATTGTCCTTGAGTGTCCCTGGCTTGTGTTATCCAGGATTATCCATCCTGTGGCCTCATCATAGCTCAGCTTGCTGAATTCCCCCTATGCTCCTTGCCAGACAATAAAGAAAAATAATCATTGCATTTCCATTCCCTCTCAGTTTCCTTCCTCCTTCCTTAATGTAAACAACAGCTAGTGTCTTGTAGAAGTCTAAGTTCTTGCCATGTTGAATTTCAGAAATTGTTGACAATAAATTTTGTAGACATACAAAAGAACAAATTTTTAAAAATTTTTATTAGTGAGACACCATGAGGTACAGTTGTAGACATACAAATTTTTGTGCTTGGGTTTCAGTTATACAATGATCAAGTACCCATCCCTCCACCAGCTCCCATCCTCCACCACCACGGATCCCAGTATCTCTCCCACCCCCCATCTCCCCCATCCCACCCTGCCTCTGTGGCATGGCATTCCCCTTTGTTCTCTCTCTCCACAAAAGAACAATTTTTATATTTAAATAAAACATAACTTGTGAATAGACTTTATCTCCTATCAAAAATGACCTATTTTTCAAATAATTAAAATTTAACTTTTTTTCTAGAAGTAAAACCAAGACATTCTTTTATATATATATATATATATTTATTTATTTATTCACCCATGTGCTCTTTTTTTTTTATTAGTGAAACACCATGAGATACAGTTGTAGACTTACAAATTTTTGTGCTTGGGTTTCAGTTATACAATGATCAAGTACCCATCCCTCCACCAGTGCCCATTCTCCACCCCCACCAACCCCAGTATCCCTCCCCCCCCCCCCACCCCACCCTGCCTCTGTGTCAGGGCATTCCCTTTTGTTCTCTCTCTCCTTTTGGGTGCTGTGGTTTGCAAAAGAGGCATTGGGTGGCAATCTTGTTCGGTCTTTCTCCCTTCTTCCTAGGCCAGTGACAGATCATTGTGTTTTATTGCCCTCTAGTGCCTAATAGCAAAAGTACAGTTGGCTTTAGGATGAAAAGCATGATGTTTAAAATCATTTCTATTGTTACTTTCTAAGCAGAGGTCTTTAACAATAAAGCTATTGCCGCAGTTCTTTTTTTCCCGTCAAAAAGATACTGGTCTCTAAGTTTTTCCAGAAATAATTGAAAGAGCATACAATTACTTTAGGTTATTATGTTCAGTTAAACATTTTAAACAACTTTATACCTGTTCTAGTCAACCTTATGGTTAATGTTTAGAAAAACCTAATAAGGTCTGAGATTATTGTGAACAAATAACATTAAAACCTTCTCATGGGCTAGAACATGTACAAAAGTTTTACATATCACTATCTTAATTTCTTTCTTAAAATGCGTTTTTTTTTTCATTCCCAGAGATTTTTTTTTTTACCTGATTAAACTTTTGTATGGAAGCACAAAGGAGAAAAAAAGTACTGAACTTTAATTGTTTAATCATTGAGCTGTGAAAGATTTCGGGGACCGTTTTTGCTTAACAAGCATTAAGTAGAGAAAAACTTATAGAAGCATTAAAAATCTGATTATAGTCCTCTGTGTTGAACTCAAGGAGAATAAGAGATACCGTTGAACTCAGGGACTTAAACCAAACTGTTTCCAGCTCTCCCCAAGCCTAAGTAGCAGATATCTCACTCTGTATCCAGCAATGCAAGTGAGGCTTAACAGATAAAACACCAAAACAAACATTCAACTTTACCATATTTTTTATAGCAGGGGTGAAACCTTATTACAGAAAAGCAGCTGACTTATATCTTTAAAAAAACTAACATTTCCTTTCAAGTTTCATGGGCTCTGTATTACATGCAGCACTATTTCTGTTCACCTCGTTCTCAAATGTAGTATACTTCATTATGATTTGTCAGAATAAAATGGGATTTTGAAAGTGCAGTTTTGCCTGGGAAAAGAATCACATGCCATGCAACAGTCTTATTTAAAACCCTCCTTTCATCTCTTTGATATTTTACTCCTTAAGCATAAATTAAGCCTGCATGGTTTAATGACAGTGGATCATTTATCTGGTTTGTTTCTGCATCATTCAAGATTTCATGCCTAATGAACGACCTCATGTCTGATGTCAGCAGTTGGCTATTTGAATACTCCGTCATAGACAGTGTGACCTTTCAGTGCTGTGAGCTGTTTATATGTGATAATGAGCCAGCTTTTTCCAGTGGCTGAATTAATCATGGTTGGCACCTTGGGCAGCACCATTAACTCCTTCAGAGGGTAATGCTGTAGAGTGCTATCCCAGAGTATAAACAGCTCCCAGTAACATGAAAGAATTTATGCCAGTTTTAAAATATGTGTGAGGAGACATTCTTTAGAAAAGCATTTAGACTGACGTTAGTCTAGGTCAGTGCTGAGTGAAAAAAAATCCAAAGACAGCACTGGAATCCTTTGAGCAATGAAATGAAATGTCCCATGCCTCCTTATTTTCAGAGATAGACATTGAGTAAATCCTCTATGCTCGTGCCAGACCATTAATCAAATGTTAGGCTACCTCCATGAGTGAACATGCCAATGCTCTGTGTTTGCCAGGCACTGTTCTTGGCGTCATTCCACATCACCTTCACAACAACCTTATGAGGTGCGTAGCCCAGTATTACAGATGAGGAAATGGAACGTATCATAAGAAAGTGTATTACGTGACTATATTTGAGCACTGAATATAGAGCAGACATCTAGTCACCCAACAGGGTATTTGAAACCTGTGCTTGAATAACATTCTGGTTACCTTGTCTAGCTGAAGGGCTGGAGCCATAGTACATAGTACAGCATTTGCCGTGCATGCCGCTGACCCGGGTTCAATCCCCTGGCATTCCATATGGTCCCCTAAACTCACCAGGAGTGATCCCTGAGTGCAGAGCCAGGCATAAGCCTTGAGCACTAACAGATGTGGTTGAGTTCTCATCCAGATTACCTATCATCTCACCCAGGGGAGAAAAAAACCCTGCCTGGTTTTGAGAAAGAAAAAGTATGGGGCACAGAGAAGGGAAAACTGTGCTTGAAAGTGTTCTCCCTCACTCTCGATCCTAGTTATTTTAATACTTTTCACTTTACTTACAAAGGGAAGTCTACCGGACATAATATGAAGGGTGAAGATACTGGTCTTATCATGGCATATATGTGGATATGATGAGCCTGTGTCTTCCTATGTTTTTTTATTTTACTGAGTATCCTGTGGGTCTAGCACTGTGTACATGCAAGGCTTGACTACTGTATGTGAGAAATGCATCAAGAGAATCTTGTAATGTATGAAATTGGAAAAACTTACTGAGTATCCTGTGGGTCTAGCACTGTGTACATGCAAGGCTTGACTACTGTATGTGAGAAATGCATCAAGAGAATCTTGTAATGTATGAAATTGGAAAAACTTAATGAAAAAAAATACTATTTACTAGAGAGAGTAGTTATGAAGCAAAAGATGAAAAAACAAGAAAAAAAACAGGTTATTTACTTTGCTGACTCTGAAACTATGTGATTCTTGGTGAATTTTCCAAAGGAATTTTGGGTAATTTATTTTAGATTTTGTTCCTACAGTGATCCTTTATTAATATTCTATATTGTATGATTTCAAATTAGCATTATATACAACACACAATGTGTGTATTTCCCAAGATACTGTTTTAGTTGCTGAAAAATCCATAAATACGGTAGAAATTTTTGCATTTTTACATTTTTGCAATTTTGCATTTTGCTAGAAATCCTTACAATCTAGTCTCTCTGGATTTCAAATGAATACATGGAACTTTGCTAAGAGATTCCTTTGAGGTATATGAATTCATTACAATCAATATCAAAGCTTTACTTAGCAAATTTCTTACTGTCACCAAACCATTTTAAATTGCATTAAATATGGTCCTACTTCAAGAAGTTTAAAGAATCCATATTTGTTGTAGGTCTTGGCCAGTCTGCGAACTGTAAGAAACAACTTTGCTGCATTAACAAATTTGCAAGACCGAGCACCCAGCAAGTAAGTAATCTGTTTTTTTACTCCTTACACATTGCTGCATTATTTCTCAATTTGAATGAACTCAGGCAATATATTATATTTCTCTGAGCTGTTGCTGTGTTGTCTGGCCATTTACACTAAGTCATATGATGTCCTGTTAATTTTCTATAAATACTTTGTAGGGATGATTCTAGTATCAGAAATGAAACCGTATGACAAATAAATATGGTGATCCCATCTGTCAGAAATCACTTGGCATAATCATTCCCCTGCTCAGTTATTTATGCTCAGCGTAACTTTATAGTTTTGACTGACTCTATAAATTAGCCATAGCAAATAATCTCATCAAGCCTTAAAGTCAACCCAAAGTCATCCTCCCAGTAAGAAGACAACACTAACTTTGAGGATCCGCAGCTCAAAGAAAAATCTTGGATTATCCTGATATTTTCACTTTCATGTCTGAAGTATAATGAAGCAACTAATAAGATTGTGTTATGCATGGTTACCAAAGAAGCATTCAAAAACAAAGGAGAAATAATTAGAATTTGGGAGTTCAGTAAAGGTGAGAAATCAAAATTGTCCAAAATTAAATGGAAACCTGATTAGTTATCAAAAATACTTTATATTGACAACCTAGTATGAATAGTAAATAAAATATTATTACTGAAATATGAGCTCTAGTGGCTAGCTGAAGCGATAGTACAGCAGGCCTTGTACACAGCCAACCCAAGTTCAATCACCAGCATCCTATCTGGTCCTCTGAGCACTGCTAGAAGTAATTTCTAAGTGCAGAGCCAGGAGTAACCCTGGGATACATTTGGGCGTGCCTTACCCCCTCCAGAAAAAGGGAAACTCCAAAGAATTTCCAGGAGAAAAATACTTATTTTAAATTAATATTAAGAGGACAGCAAATAGAAAATTTTAAAAAGAGATAGTGAGTAGAGATTTGTAATAATAACTCACCTAAGTATATAAAAATCTGTAGTAGTAACTACTTTTTGAAGGACCTAAAACATTTGAACTTTCTATTTCATGAAATATAATTAAGTTCCTAAATTCACATTTTCTGTGATTAAAACAACAGCAACAAAAACTTTGGCCATGACAGCACACTTGCTGTAACAGAATACAGTCTTAGAAAACATCAGTATATTTGCTTACAATTCAAGTAATTGGCTTGGAACCCAGAAACTTGAGTTAACCATCAAGTTTTCCACATGATGAATTTTTACAGTCTGCACCTTCAGCCTGTAAGATTGCACCTCACATTCTCATAGACTGGTCTAACTGTAAGTTACACTTTTATCCCAGTGTACATGTAACTTGTATGGGAACATTGTAACAAAATAAACATCACAGCCCCATACTGATATTGTATCTTTCCATTTTTGTCTTACTGCATCTTTTACTTGCATGCCTTTCCCAGCCCATGTCTTTGTGCCAGTTTGTTTGTTTGGGTGCCTCTTGAGAATATCAGTGCCCAGTATGTCTGGCACCCAGCATGATACCCAGGACAGAGCAGTGTCTCTGGACTGTGCTTGCGGACTAGAAGTCGCCACATCGCTTGTGAACCCTACGGGTTTGCTGACGTATTTGTTCATTACCAAACACGTCATCTGTGTTCCCTGCCAGTGCTTATCACACCAATCTCAACAGCAACTTGGGGCCTTTTTTGTCATTTGGTAGCTCAGAGGTCTAATCAGGTCCTCTCAGGATGTCTCAGCCCTCAAGGAGAAATGAAGTGATTGGTATTTCTCCCAAACATTATCATTCTTAAATTTCACCCAGTGACTTGCAGTTTTTAAGGACAAATGAGAAAGTTTATAGGTCCTTTTCTGATTCCGTCAGACATGAACTCTCTCAAGCCTGTGACTGGCAAACAGTTGATCAGGCAGGTGGAAAGGCATCACACTGTTTTTTCTGATTCGGACGGGATGATGGAAGGCACATTCTGTGCATGACAGAAGTTTCGACTGAGTTTCAGGAACAAACAGAATGGAAGAGAGCAATGAGAGAAGGATAAGAAACCATAGCTTATGCCTGGATTTTATTACAATATAATGTCCTTCGTGCCCTTACAGCCTTGTGCCTAGCTAATTGATTTGAACCAGATCAGCATCCTTGGGTGTCAGATTCTATCCACACACAGATAAATCCTGTTTGAGTGCCATGATTGAAGACATGCTTTCATGCAGCCAACTCTTATTCAGTCCTCAGCACATGTTCCCTGAGTGCATACATGTGCAGCCCTGAAGGCCACCTTACCCTGACACTACAAAGCCTGAGAACCAGAATATTCTCCAACCTTCACATTAATCTTCTGGCCCAGTTGACTGAAAACTGCCGGGAGGGGCCCTTAGGCCTTCCAAGCTCTGGTTGGGAGACTGACCCCACCAAATAAAATAAAGGAAAAGATGATATAATACTGGTTTATTACTTGGTGACCCTACAGTAACCACTTTTCTTTCTGGGCACTCATGCTAATAGTTTTTCACTAACAAAAATTTAAAAAACAATGTAAATGATGGAGAATGGGCACTGGTGGAGGGATGGGTACTGGATCATTGTATAACTGAAACCCAAGCACAAAAATTTGTAAGTCCACAACTGTACCTCATGGTGTTTCACTAATAAAAAATTTTTTAAAAAAGTCACTAGACGGGCTGGAGAGATAGTACATTGGGTGGGGCGTTTGCATGTGGCTGACCTAGGTTCAACCCTGAAATCCCATATGGCCCCCTGAGCACTGCCAGGAATAATTCCTGATTGTATAGCCAGGAATTACCATGAACATCACTGTGTGTGGCCCCAAAACAAAAACAAAATAAAGAGAAGAGAAATAAAAATCACTAGAACAATCTTGTTTTTAAGTTTCGTACTTCTGTTTTAACATTTTATTGAATCATTGTGAGATACCCAATTACAAAGTTTTTCATGATTGAGTTTTAGTCCTACAAAGTTCAAACACACATCCCTTCAGCAGTGTACATTTCCCACCACCAATGTCAGCAGTTTCTCCTCCAGCTTGTTTCTATGGCAGATACTTTTCTTTTCTATCCCCCGCTGCTGTGTGTGTGTGTGTGTGTGTGTGTGTGTGTGTGTGTGTGTTTATGTATGTATCTGTGTCTGTATCTATCTGTCTGTCTCTTCTTTTTGGCAATGTGGTTTACAACAGTGTTACTGAAAGGGTATTATGTATATCAACTTACTTCCTTTCAACACTCAGTTCTTGTCCAGAGATCATTTTCAGCTATCATTTCATAGCGGTCCCTTCTCTGTCCTCACCACACCCCTACCTGAAGTCTTTAACTCATTTTAATTGGACTTTATTGCATAGTATCAGAGGGAGGTCTGAAGTATTTTGTTTGGGTTTTTTTTTGCATGTAGCTGACCAGTTTTCCCAGCATCACTTGTTGAGGAGACTTTTTCTTACTCCACTTGATTTTTTTTTCTTCTTTGTTGGGCTGGAGCGATAGCACAGCAGTAGGGTGTTTGCCTTGCTTGCAGCCAGCCTGGCCGAGCCGGGTTCGATTCCTCCGCCCCTCTCGAGAGTCTGGCAAGCTATCGAGAGTATCTCACCCGCACGGCAAAACCTGGCAAGCTACCCGTGGCATATTCAATATGCCAAACCCAGTAACAATAAGTCTCAAAATGGAGTCGTTACTGGGCCCACTCAAGCAAATGAACGAACAATGAGAGGACAGTGACAGTGACACTTGAAGATTAACTGATGGTATACCTCATATATTTTGAGGATATGCAACCCTATTCCATTGGACTGAGGGCCTTTTTTCATTACAATATTATGTTGTTTTAATTACTACCATGTTGTAGTTTGAAGTTGAGGGAAGTGATGTCTCTCATCTTTTTTTCTCCAAGGATTGCTTTAGCTATTCAAGGGCAGAAGGTGGAAGGAGGATTATTATTTTATTTTATTTTTAATTTTTATTAGTGAAACACCATGAGGTACAGTTGTAGACTTACAAATTTTTGTGCTTGGGTTTCAGTTATACACTGATCAAGTACCCATCCCTCCACCAGTGCCCATTCTCCACCCCCACCAATCCCAGTATCTCTCCCACCCCACATCCTCCCCATTCCACCCTGCCTCTGTGGCAGAACATTCCCTTTTGTTCTCTCTCTCTCCTTTTGGGTGTTTTGGTTTGCAAAAGAGGCACTGAGTGGCAATCATGTTTGGTCTATAGTCTGCTTTCAGCATGCTTCTCCCATCCTGGGAGGATCCTTCCAACACCCTTTATTTGGTGCTTCCCTCTCTATTTGAACTCCCTTTTCCCCTAGCATGTGTGGCTGGCCTCCAAGCCATGGAGCAAAATTCCTGGTACTAATCTCAGCCACTTTTGGGTGTTAGTCTCCTATTTTGTTACTTTATGTTCCCCAGATGAATGCAATCTTTCTATGTCTATCCCTCTCTTTCTGACTCATTTGCTTAACATGATACTTTCCATGTAGTACCATTTGTATGTAGATTTCAGGACTTCATCTTTTCTAACAGCTACATAGTACTCCATTTTGTAAATGTAAGGGGGTTATTATTTTATATGAAATTCAGGAGTGTTTAGTTCTTTGAAAAATGTCATTGATATCTTTATAGGGACTTCACTGAATCTGTGCAGTGCTTTGGGGAATATTGCTATTTTAATATTAATCTCCCAATCCATGAGGAAGGGATGTATTTCCATTTTCTTGTGTCCTCTTTTATTTCTTAAAGTAGTGTTTTGTAGTTTTCTTTGATCTTTTACCTCTTTCGTTAAGCTAATTCCAGGGTACTTGATTTTCCTGAGTCATGGTTGTGAACAGGATTGTTTTTTTAAATATCTCTTTCTTTTATTATTTGTATACAGGAAAACCATGGACTTTCATATATTAACTTTTAGCCTGCCACTTTACTATACATGTCTATTGTTAGTAGGAGCTTTTATTGTAGAGTTTTTAGAATTTTCTAAATATAGTATTATGTCATCCACAAATAATGAGAGCTTGATTCCTTCTATTCTTATCTGGATGACCTTAATATTTTTTTCTTGCCTACTTGCTATGGCAAGTACTTCCCGTACTATATTGAAGAGACTGAGTGAGAACTAGAACATTTCTGAACTACCTGAAAGCCCTTTTATTGTTTGCTCCAAAGAGTCTGGGATTCCAGAACTCAGAATATTGCTCAGCTACACATTGCTAACTTAAGTAACCCACTCCCTTTCACAACTCCATACCTTTTTTCACCCTTGAAAATTTTCTTTTTGTTGTTTTCAAGGTTTTGTCAGGGCTGACTTCTGGCTCTGTGCACATAGATCACTCTAGCGGGGCTAGGTGGTCCCTATGCGGTGTCAGGGATTGAATCTTCTATGGGTAAGACAAGTTGTCCTACCTACTCCTCTATCAGTCCTGAACCTACTCTTAAGATTCTGGCTCACTACTAAGTAGTTTATCCCTCTAACGAATCATCAAACACAATATGATCCACTTTTCCTTCCTTATTGAAATACAAAGTTCTCAAGTGTCAGTTGTGACATTGATATTAACAGAAGACCATAAATAAAAGATCGTAATCATGTAACATATTTCCAGATGAAATGGGTATGTTCTTGCATTTTCAATGCAAATTAGTGAAAGAAATAGTACAAAAATTAATGGAATAATAAGTAAAAGTAAAGTAAAGGCCCTCCCGTTGTTCATCGATTTGCTTGAGTGGGCCCAGTAACGTCTCCATTGGAGACTTTGTTGTTACTGTGTCTGGCATATCGAATACGTCATGGGGAGCTTGCCAGGCTCTGCCGTGCGGGGGAGATACTCTTGGTAGCTTGCCGGGCTCTCCTAGAGGGGCGGAGGAATCAAACTCGGGTCAGCCATGTTGGCTGCGTGCAAGGCAAACGCCCTACCGCTGTGAATGGAATAATAAGTTCTCATAAAAATAATAACTATTTGTATATAGACCAGACCTGTTTCAGAGTTGCACTATCAAATATTCATCTTTCTTGTTTATGAAACATTAATCATTTTCAAGTTTTTATCAGACAGGAATTTGATTTATTTTGGGGGGATGTGGAGGAAGTGGTTTGGGCAGTGCTGGGGACTACTCTGACTCTGTGCTTCATGCTCGTTCCCAACTGTGCTTTTATCAGACCACACAGTTCTGGAGATTGAACCAGAGCTTGCAAATAAAATTTAAATGTCAAATACATCAGTAAACTTAAAGGTAAGGAGCCTTACCAAATGTTGGCTGGCGCCAAAATAGTGAGAATTGACCAGATTCTATGTTGCTTTCCGCTTACAATGCCCACCTCTGCTCATAGATTGTTCATCTCAGGAAGGCAGGTTTGAAGAGGGTTTTGCAGAGCCTGCTCTCAGTACAGATGTGTGGCTGTGAGTCCAGATTCCACTGAAGTCATTGTGAATAAGGCATCCTTACAGAATGCAGACCCTAGAAGTACATACCTTCAGTTCAGGTCTCAGCATTCTTGCATTGAGCATAAGATTCAACATCTCAAGTGTTTGTTTTCTTTTTGGATAAAATGGAAGCACAGAAATGACCTGCCATATGTTTTGTTGTGATAACTAAATGAGATCATTGATCCCAAGCATTTAAGTTAGCACAGCATCTGGTTTATTGTATTTATGAAGCATTAGCCAGTAATAGAGGTATTACTAAAATAAAAATTTAAAGATGCCAGACATCCTTGGAGGTGTTACTTGTTACACGTTTGGGTTATGTTTGGGGTTTTTTTTTAGAGTATTGTGGTTTTAAAAGGTTCCAGTTGTTAGCCAGAGTGATAGTACAGTGACTAGGGAGTTTTACTTGCACTGGCCAACCCAGGTTTGATCCCTGAAATCCCATATGCAACCCCCCAACTCAGAGCATCACCTGGAATAATTCTTGAGTGCAGAGCAGGAGTAATCCAAAAACCAAATAAATAAATGAAAAAGTTCTAACTGTAACAACCATACAAAGTTATATTTTTAAAAATTACAATAAATATATTATAAATACTTTTTCAGTATTAATTTCAGATCTTGTTGACTATTGGATACTTAGGCTAACTTCTGTAGGAAACGTCATTGAGTGCAGTTTTTCATCTCAGAGGGTTTACAATCATTCTTTGGAATTTGACAAACAACTGAAAAAGTAGACAGTATAGAATACAGTCTATTTAAGTGCCTTTATAAGTATGTCTAAAGTCTATAGCACCTGTTTGGAAAAGTAATTAATATATCTCTCAGGTACATAAAGGGTTTCTCAGATGAAAAAAAAATGGAAAATAAAAATGTTAACAGCTTTTGTAATGTGGTTTAGTTTATAAGAAATCATTCAATTCTGATAATTCATAGACAATCTTGATAACTTATGTCCCAAATGAAAGCTTTTGACAGCTTTAGAAAAATCCATTGTGCATTGATGACTTTTTAAAGCCATTAACTATGTATTTGCTCAGAGTCCTGGCTTAGTTGAATATTATCAATAAAATAAAAATGTCTGTCAACTCTTTGGCTTTTATATCCTTGGTTTTTACCCCCTAAATCTTAAAATCCCGTTAAGTCAGGATGAGATTTAACAGGGTATGTTTGTTTTGACATGAGTGATCTGATCTGTGCACAAGAAGGAAAGAAGGGAGCCCAGGAACTTAGCTGGCTTAGTCTCAAAGAACTCTTTTCTTGCATGTTCTAACTTAATGCTTTAATTTTAAATGACGTGTTTGAAATGACTCAAATATTTTTCAAATCAACAAGCACCACCAATTGACTGCTTTGTGTTTATTTTTCTTTTCCTTTGTCAGACGATCACCCATGTGCAACCAACCATCCATCAACAAAGCCACCATAACAGGTAAGAAAACTCTGCGAGCTTATTCTTTGTTGCTTATGAATAAACCCTGTTTTCTAAGATTTTCATTGCATTTTTTCACTGATCACACAAGGTGTTCGTTTAAATTATTTCTTGGAAAATCTTTATGTAAGTACCTCTTTTGTAGGTGGGGCGGGACAGGCTTGCCCTCCCAGTGGTGTTTAGAAACCTGCCAGTGTCAGTACTGCTTAGCCCATCAGTGTGGGTCTGATAATTTGGACTGGGGTCTGGGGAAATGGTACTACTCAAGTTCTTGGGTGCTGGTGTTTCCCAGGCCACCCTAAGGGGCTCTGGGAGACCCTGTTGTGTGAGAAATAAACTCAGGACCTCATGCGCATTGCTCCATACTTTCGAGTTCTCTCTCCACTGATGTATCATATTTAAAAACCTTTTAAGTATATATGTCCTTACTGTGTGTAATATTTCTCTGAATATTTGTATTTTGAAAAATAGCAATACCTTCAAGATAACTGACCATGGTGCTTTCATGCTAATGATATCAGCTTGATGCTAATAGGTTTAATGAAAATGAAGGCAAAAATAAAAGACACCTTATTGAGTTATCAATATCCTAGTTATATGTAAGAAAGATTACAATTCCAGTACTCCTGATTTATTCCAAGAGAATTGAGAATACATTTCATTTAGTAGGGAAGGGAAGAGGTATTTTTACCCCTATTAAAGAGAAATTCAATAAGATCAAAAGAAATGATGTTCAAGAAAAGAAATGGGAAGAAAGATGTCAAGGTCAGGAAAATAAAATTACCCCAATTTTTATTATATATGTTTTAGAAAGGAAATTTACCTGAACTGAACCAAACTGAACCAAAAACAGAACAAGTGATCTCATTTTTCTAAACTTGAAACCGAACTTATTTAATCATATCTTGAAATCCCAGTTGGTTCATTAAAATAATTGTCTAGAAAAGAAAGTCTGTATTTTCTAAAATTATTACCAGAAGAAAATTAACATTTTCTCCAAACTAGACCAATACATCATTTGATTCAGGTATCTTCCATGAGCTCCTCAATCGTATCATGCTGAGAAACTCTATTTGAGAATTTAGTGAGCATGATTTGCTTGAGACATAACTTCATGTCCAGTCTGCACTTTCCAACCAGATTCTTTTCTGGGTACCACTCCGGAACAGTGGTTGGTGTTGTTCCTCTGTCCTGGGTGTGTTTTGAATGGGACTTGTGTTTCCATAAATGTTCAACTATTGGTTCTCTTTTCCATTTTATCTTTCAAGACCTGATTGTTGGTGTCATTTAGCTGGTACTTCCAAGTATATGTTTGCTTCACCAGTTTTCTTCTTGACAGTGATCAAGAGAGCAACAAGACCAGATTTCTATTAATTTCACTATATTACTTTTCTTTGGTGGGGATACAGTGAATATGTAGCAGTATTAGGTGCATGGGGTCATGCCCAGAGGTGCTTGGGAGATCATGTGCCAGAGATAGAATTCAGAATCTTCACATGTGGGAAGCTATGCTCTACTACTTGAGTCACACCCACCCCCTCACTAATTTCAAATACCTTATTAAAATAAGTCTTTTAATTAAGAAAATCCTTCTTCAAAAACCAAAATTCTTTGTGAGCAAGACTTCACTAAAATGAGATGCACCCTTTGTAGCTATGCACTTGCCAGGCTATTTTGAAGGATGGATAAGCTGATTTTTGTGTGCACGTGATCAGGATACCATTTGGAACCTCGTCTTGAATCCTGCTTTAAACACTAGGTCTGACCCCTCTGAAGAGAGACAACCTCTTGCCAAACTGGCTTTTTACAAAAGCAAGAATCTGACACTAGTCTGAGCAGAATACAGTGCTGTTTTGGTCCCCGAAACCTTTTGTAGCTTGGGGCCAACCAATGAGCATCCCCCCAGAACAGCTGCAAGTACCCAAAGAGAACTGCTGTGTCCAGAAATGTGGAGGGCACCCTGTGGGCAGGGCAGCTGCCCCTCCTTCTGCTGTGAGCCCAGCATTGATTCTGAGTTGACTAGCTATACTCAGAGAGCACCTGCTCGGTTGTGAACACCTATGAAAGTCTCCAGAGAAGTGCCCAGAGATGCTTACAGAATATTGGGATCCAGAAGTGATCCAGAGGGAACTCTAAGCCTCTAACATGTGGGAATCAAAGTCAGTATAGGTTCATTTTGTATCGTGACCTGAGGACTAGGGACAGCGGGGCAGAAATATCTAGGAAGGGAAACTAATTAACTGTTATTAACCGCCTGGTGCAGCTGTGTTTATCACAGTGCACCACAGGAAATTAACTGACTAGAGAAGAGAAGTCTGTTTCCTTGCACAAGCAGAGCAAACCAAGAGCCAACTGGGGATCAAGGAATGAGGCCAGCAACTGATGACTCAACCTTCAAGACTTCTCTCCCTCCCAAGGGAGCCCAGCCCAATACCTCTACAGTGGTCCTAGGAAGTGTGGGAAAGGGAATCGGAGGAATCAGTGAAGCATCCTCTAAGATGAGCTTGTGTTTCGTGTCTAAGTAGTGCTTCCACAAGTGATCCATACTACTTTCTACACTAGCCTTGGTTGCAGTTTGGAGGACAAAGGCATCTTTCTCTTTTTTGGCTTAAAGATGGTTGATTTTCCAGGTATTCCCTGAAGAATTTTTTAATGGGGCAGTTGATTCAATAGGTTAAGGAACCTCTGTCTGGAGGAGGAAACGGCACACTGGTGCCCAAGACTACACTGGAGCTCAGCTCCGGGGCTCCCTGGAGGATAATGACAGAGATCTTCCCTGATGCATGTGCCTGGCACTGTGTTTCTGATTCAACCCATGTTCTCTCATGATAGTTGGACATAACTTTCCTCTACCTCTGTTTCCCCATGCAAAATGGCAGTCCTACCTCTTGCAGTTATTACAAGTCAATGAGTTCTTATGCAGGGTGCAGATAATAAGATAATGTGAGCATCAGTACATCTTATTTATTCAGTTTTATTTATTCTGCATATCTTATTTATTCTGCACATATCAAACTTGGTATGAGAGAAAAAAATAAGCCAGAGAACTAAAGGAAGAAAGGTGAGGATAGTGTGGGAGGGATGAAAAAAAGACACACATCATCACAATCTGACCTTGCAAGGGCATAACAGTAAATTTATGAATCCTCAAAATAGTGTCAAAATAGACACTTTCACTGTGTCTGTTAAAAATTGGGCCTCTTATTGGTCCCAGAACTGTGTTTTTCCTTTTATCACAGACATTGGTAACACTGTAATATAAGCAGATAATTTTTTAAATGTAATAACTGGCTTTGGGTCATACATAGCTCTTTAAAGAAAACTAACTATAAATTTTCCATAAATCAACATCTTGATTTAAAAGAAAAAGTTAAGAATTTTAGCTGTCAAGCTAGAGAGGTAGTACAGTAAGCAAAGCACTTGTCTTGCTTTGGTTTGCTCCCCGTCTCCTCATATGGTCCACAAGCACCACCAAAAGTGATTCCTGAGCAGAAACAGGAATAAGTACTGCCAAATGTGGTCCCAAGCCCCTTCCAAAAAAGCACTCAAGCTCTCTACGTGTATCTCCCTCCGTCTCCTATAACTTTACCTCTTAGATATACTAATATTCCCCTCCATTCTGCTTTGCTGTCATTCCATTTAATGTTTTTAATTTTGGGTTTATATTACTAAGGTTAAAATATGTTCATCATCTGTAAATTTTTATTTTCCATACAAAATTGATAAATACAAATATCTAAATCATCAAATTGAATAAAGTTCTCAAATGTGCATTTTTAAAACAGCCATACCACTAAATGGTTCTTTTGTCCTATACTATAAAATAAGAAAAATGGTGTATGTATTTGGAACTTGAGTAAAAACGCTGACTCTAATTTATTTTACTTCATAATTTTAAATATTAAGGAACGAATCCCTAACTTTTGGTGTTGAATCAGAAATTCGGGGAATAACTTAGAAGTTTCCACCCCGTTTTAGAAAATTCGTCACTGTCACTGTCACTGTCCTCCCATTGTTCATCGATTTTCTCAAGCGGGCCCAGTAACGTCTCTATTGGAGACTTTGTTGTTACTGTGTTTGGCATATCGAATACATCACGGGTAGCTTGCCAGGCTTTGCCCTGCGGGCAAGATACTCTCGGTAGCTTGCCGGACTCTCCGAGAGGGGCAGAGGACTCGAACTCGGGTGGGCCATGTTGGCTGGGTGCAAGGCAAACGCCCTACCGCTGTGCTATTGCTCCAGCCCCTCTGGAGATTTTATTTAAATTTTAAATAAATTTTTTTAAAAATTTATTTTTTAAATAAATTTTAAAAAATAATAACTCAGCACTCCCATAGTCCTCTCAAGGCTCCTTCTGCCCACCCAGATCATTCTGGTGCTCCCTGGAGCCAGTATCACCCATTCTGGAGAACACTAAGTTAGTTGAAAAACAGAGCCTTTTTGTTTAAGAGTAACTCGCTAAATTTTTCTTTCAACAACCCTTCTTGGTTCCTGACATTATTTATTTCTCTTTGCTACTTTAAAAACAAAGTGAAAGAGGACATTGATGATCTGTCCATTTTCCTGGTACATTCCATTTATGGTTTTGCTTCACACACTGTTATTGCTTAGAATGAGACTTAGAAGGGAGTGAAAGAGAACTAAGGAGTGTGTGGAACGTGAGGGGGCAGCAAAGAGTCAGAGATACCCTCACCAGGCCTGCTGGGGAAAGCAAGTGATGGCTCTCGAGACACTTTTATTTAGTCCGCAGCATTTCATTTTCAACCCATGTAAGTTCAAGGAATGTGTTCTGCAGCCATATGACGGATCTCTGTCACATCTTTAGAATTTCATTTCTTGCCGCATATTTCCAAATTCTGTGTCTTTAATCTTTTTAGTGTATCTTTGGATTGAAGATATTCGTGCAAGAATGCAACTCACAAAAAAATAAAATGATGGAAATTTCTGTATTCTAACGATGTGACAATGATTGTCGTGATTCAGGTTTCCTTTTTCTCAAG